GAGACCAGAAATGATAAATATGAAAACTCCCTAGTAAAATCTGGGCTATCTGATCCAACCAAGTATTCAGAGGACGTGGTGTTATTTACAGTTCCTCAAAGCAGGGGGCCCTTCTACTGTCGCTTGGGAACTGAAGATACCCAAATCCAAGAAGGCCAGTGAGACTTTTGTAGGCAATGTCCACAAACAGCAGGCTGGCTGAGAGTCAGTGTGTGTGACACACAGTTCCCAGATGGTACCCACTCCTCCACAGGATGCCTTCTAGTCAGCTAGCTTCCAAATTTATCCAGATCTCCCCAATGGTATATGGGAGCCCTGGCCAAGAAATGAACCACAAAAGAAGACTTGGAAAGCAGGACCCAGGTACATTCTTCCCCAATTACAGTGGTACCATAAATGTACGTGGAATAATTTAAGCATTCACAGGGCTCCCTACTTCAATACACGTTGACAAATCATACCAAATAGGAACACTACTTTTGAAAAGTGGTGGACCTGGATGTTTGCAAAACCTTCATGACTTCTGGGTAACAGAGGTGACCACATTCCCTCCTTGAGAAAGTGGTAACATCACTCTGTGTATGTGGCTGTGTGTATGTCCGTGTGTGAAAGGCAGGGTAGTAGGACACACAAAGCTAATAGAGGGAGGGAGCTTTCTTTTCCTAGTACCACCCCCCCCTTACAACAACAAATTTGGGCTGGAGAGATGGTGCAAAGACTGGAGAGCATGTTGTGCAAATAGGCGAAAGTTTTATCTCCAGCTGCAGGGTCCCCTGAGAACTTCTAAGAGTGAGTCCCAAGCACCAGGCCATGAATAGAGTCTGGTCCCCAAACAACAACAAAACCCCAGCACCGCCCCCTAAAATAAAAACAAACAAGAACACATTACCTCTTATTGTACTGACTTGCTTCTTTTTGTTTTTGGCCCCACTTAGCTGTGCTCAAGGCTTACTCCTGGCTTTATTCTCAGGGATCACCCCTGATGGTGCTGGGGAACCATATGTGGTGCTGGGGATTGAACCTGGGTTGGCTGCATGCAAGATAAGTAAGTGCCCTACCAGCTGTACTGTTGCATCCTTTTTTTTAAAAATTTTTATTAGTGAGACATCATGAGGTACAGTTGTAGACTTACAAATTTTTGTGCTTGGGTTTCAATTATACAATGATCAAATACCCATCCCTCCACCAGTGCCCATTTCCCACCACCACGGATCCCAGTATCCCTCCCACCCCCCATCCCCCCTATCCCACCCTGCCTCCGTGGCAGGGCATTCCCTTTTGTTCTCTCTATCTTATTGGGTGTTGTGGTTTGCCAAAGAGGCAATGGGTGACAATCATGTTTGGTCTACAGTCTACTTTCAGCATGCTTCTCCCATCCTGGGATGATCCTCCCAACACCAGTGTACTGTTGCTTCTTACGAGTAAGAAGGTAACCTGGAGTCAGGGCTAGAGCAGACAATTTTCTTACTCTAGAATAGGGCTGATGAAAAGATCCAAAAACCAGAGGAGAGAGGTTACAAATAATCTAAGGTGGCCCAAGCAGCTTTGGAGGGCAATGTGGCCCAGAGACAGAAAACAGATCCAGTGAAATAGGGGAGCAAGAGCCAACTGGAGAGCATGCTGAGAGGTGTTTGCAAATGGCCAAAGACAAAAGCTTGGGACTTGATGTTCGGATAGATCCTGAGACTAGAGCCTAAGAGGCTCAAGCAGTAAAATTCATGTTAGTGATAAAAATGAAGTGGTCGTGGGCATATAAGGGCTGTTGTGAATTCTCCTTCATTTGGGGGCTACTCCTGAGTCTTGCTCTAGCTAGGATTTAGTGGTTCTGAGCCACGTGAAAGACTAATTCTACAATCAGCTTAACCAATGGCTGAATAAATAGCAATACTCCTACATAAAAAAAAAAAACCTGATTCTAAGTGAGCTGTACTTTCACTTCCCCCAAAGCTGAAGCATCATCATCTTAGCAAATATTTTCTGAGAAGTCTTGTAAAATGTTTCTGGTCGTAGTTATACCTGACTCTGAATGTGATCTAAAATGGAGGTGGAGAGATAGTATAGTGGGTAGGGGCGCATGCCTCGCATGCAGCTACCTGGATTCGACCCCTGGCACCCCATACGGTCCCCTGAGCCCACCAGAAATGAGCCCTGAGCACCACCAGCTGTGGCCCCCAAACAACAACAAAACATGTGATCTAAGTTAACAGATTTAGATCCTTTCGTTATAGCCAAGTGGAACAATTTGAATTATTAACTGGTTCTATCTGCTCTGTGTTTAAGCCTGTTGCAACTAGCAGTTTCTAAGCAATTGTTTTTTGAGTGGGGAGTCTATTCCTAGCAGGCTCCCCATAGCAGTGCTGCTTCTACCAGAAGAGAAGGCAGGGCAGTGCCAGGGATGGAATTCAGGGCTTTGCACTTGCAAAGTTTGTACTCTAGCACTTGGGTATACCCTTGCCACTCAACACTGGTACCATACACTGCGTATACAGCAGCATGATCTTGGTCCAGCCTGTATGGCAAGATCACTTTTTCCCTTTTCACAGAACGGGGATGAACTGGGGAATAAGTTCTCTCAGGACGTCTCTGCTATAACAGGTTAGAGGAAATGTCCATAGATACAGGTGTGGGTTCCAAATCCAGGCCCAGGAGTAGAGAGTTTTGCAATTACCACTGGTCCTAAGCAAGGATTACGATAAGGTTCAGAAACCGAGTTGCAAGAGTCAACAGAACAGGGTTCCCTCTCCCCCCTCCCCGACTCCACCCCACTAGGGGTGGGAGTGGTTGGGCCACATCATGAGTTCTCAGGTTTTATTACTGGCTCTGCACTCAGAAATCACTCCTGGCAGGTCCGGGAGAGCCATAAGGGGTACTGGGGATTGAATGTGGATCAGCTGAATACAAGGCAAATGCCCTACCTGCTGTATATCATTTGAGGCCCAGCAGTGCAGATTTTGTTCCAGATGTGTAGTGCCCCTGATGGAAAGGGTCTGAGGAAAAATGACCTCATCTAGTACAGGAAGATGAAATGGAATAGAATGTCTAGAAATGACTAGATAGGTAGAAGTTTAAAGCTGGTTTAACATATTCTTGCAGAACATCTTTCAATTGGAGGACAGGGCCTAATTTTCAATATGCCTCAAACTGACAGGCATTAAGTGGGAAACATGCAATTTTCTTGTGATTGGGGAAGAAACAATCAAAGAACAGGCCCAAAAGTAATTGGGTTGAACACACAGATCCTGGGCATCTCTAATTAATCCATATTGTTTACTTATTAATTAACAAAAGTTATGTGTAAAAATTCCCATTGGTAAAAGCCACTGGCTAAGCCTAAAAAATGCTGTTATTCTCTATCCTCCTCCTCCTTGTACTTCCACCAGGTACCTGACAAGTTTCCAGTCTTTATGTATTACTATAAACCTGTCTGAGGAAAGTTTCAATTCATAAGTCCTGGCAGAGAGACAGGATAAGATAAAAGGGGTATGAATTTGCAGAGACTGCTTTCTGGAGGGTCTGATGAGAAAATCAGATAAGCAAATAAATGATTATCAGCCCAGCCACAGGCCCAGGGGAAGCAATGTACGAATTACTGGCAGAGCTGGGCACACAGGACAGGAAGCAAATTCCCCTCTGCAACTTATCTTCTGCAATTACCATTATCTTACTGTTTTGACTTTGCCATTTCAGCCAAGAGTCATCATTTTGCTACAGAATGCAGGCTTAGAATATCATGCTGTTCCCCTGATGGGGCTGCTTCTCCCAAGTTCCTCGCCTGTCTCATCTCTCCATTTGGATTCAGTTCAGAAATACCTCACTCCAGAAACCCATCCAACCCCTGGAGATCTTGTCAGTAATTTCAACTAGCCCATGTCTTGCAGGATTCTAAAAACTTCAAGTGCTCAAAACACCTACCAATGTTGGCACATTTTATGCAGGTGACTGCATTTCTTACGCGGGCATCTCAGGACTTGCTCCTGGCTTTGGGCTCAGGGGACTTAATGGGGTGCCTGGGGATCAAACCTGAATCAGTCACATGCAAGGCAAGTGCTCTAATTGCTATATTATCACTCCAGCCCAACTGCAGACTCCCTAATTCAGTCTAGGGAGCACCTGACCTTTCTAGGGAACACCTGGTCAGTCTAGGGAGCACCTGGTCTTTCTCCACAAACGTCACATTCTGGTTCTGAGCCCCTTTGGTCTTTATTTCCTAGGATCCCCTTATTTCCCTTGCAACACAGGGAACAACCAAAGTGGCAGGTACCACCACCACCAACAACAAAAACCAGAACAAAAGGAAATTCAGCCAGTTCTGTGAGATCATTTCCAGTGGCCAAGGTCTGGGTTCTGAGGAGTCCCAATGAATCCTCTAGGTTGGAATAACAGTTAGTTTTGCTTCCCACACTGGCATGCCCCAGTCTTCTGTACCATACCTCAGGCCCTGACTATGAAGCAGACTGGGAACTGCAGACCTTTGGTTTTCCTCTCAGAAGAATTTGCCTTCCAGAGCAGAGAGAGACTCAGAGAAAGTTCCCACCTCGCACTGGGATGGTCCCTTGAGGCTCAATGTCCCCCTCAAAGAACAAGAGGGTGACCAACTAAGGTCTGAGCAGTAAAAAGATCCCAAATGGTGTACAAAAGAGAGCCCAAACAAGCAAGTCAACAGCCAAATAAACAAAAGTCAACAGCCAAAGAGTGATCAGCAAGAAAGACTTAAGGTCTGCCTGGGAATTTACACATAGAAGGTCCATGATAGGGAGAAGTGGAAGAGAAGACAAAATGGATGAGCTGCTAAAGCCAGTGGCACATAGCAAGGCAGGTTTCAAACTCGGGCTGATCCACCTCACCAAGGCTGAAACCAATCCTGCCCCTGGGTGAAAGCTGGCTGAGGATGTGGCCTGCAGATGGTGGCCGGTAGGGCAGGACAGCCTGGGACCGGATCCAAACAGAGGCATTTCCCTGCTCCCTTCAAACTGATGACTACTGGTCTCGGGATGTGCTACCCTTTCCCACAAGCAAGGACTATTTTCCCAAGTTTCCACAGAAAGATCACAAGGAAAGTTGAGTTTTCCAGGTTTGGACACGTTCTTCAAAATACCCGGTATGACTCTTGCAGAAACTTCCCTCATGTCCAAGTTTTCTTTCAGAATGAGTCCAACGGTTTCCTTATCTAAATTTAACTCTTCAGCCATCATCCTCACAGTCTGAACAAACTAAGACCGTGACCTTCTGAATATTTTCATCTGTCCGGTGGGTGACTGGACGACCACTGCGGGCTTCATCTCGAACATCTTCCCGCCCTTCTTTAAACCTTTTGTGCCAGTCAAAAACTCCGGCCCTTGACATGACTTCTTTCCCGTAGGCTTCTTTTGAAAGATGGTGAGTTTCACTCGCAGAACTTTTTAATTTCACGCAATAGTTGATACTAATCCTTTGTTCTAGATAGCGGTCACTCATTTCGGAATCTAAACACAGGGACGTTAACAATTGTGAGTGGGGGGGAAGCCTAAGGGATCGATCTCTGCACAGCTGCTGGTGGAGTCATTCAGCTATTCTTGTTCCTCTGTGAGCTCCATGGGGGAAGAGCAGCCACTTTTTTCTTTTTAAATCAGTTTTCGCCTCTCAGCATCCAAACTGGAGAAGCTAACGGGCCCAAGAACAGCCGTATCAGGGGGATGAGGCGGGGGAATGAAACTCCCTGCAGGTCAATCTGCCGGGTACATGCAAACCGGTGCGCGAGGTTGCCTCGCCCCCGCGGTCCTTAACAGCCCGGGGCGACTTCTGCAAGAGAGGCGTCACGGCGGCAACTTTCCACAAGGAGGACCGCACCGGGGATGCAACGAACGGGAGAGCAGCCCTAGCAGCGCCCGGACAAGCGCGCACGCCGAACCCACAGCAGCCGCCGCGGGCGAGCTGCGCGCGCGAGTCCCGGGAGACAAGCCCGCATGCGCGAGCCCCGACTCCCGCCCGCCGGGAAGGCCGCGCGCAGGCGCAGGGCGGCCGCCGGCGCCTGGCCCCGCCTCCCCCTCGCCACACCCGGGCGGGCGCGCCTCTCTGCGCGTGCGCGCCGCGGCCGAGCCGGCCCCCGGAAGGGGCGGGGCGGGGCGGGGCGGGGCGAGCCGGAAAGCTGAGGGGAGAGAGGGCACCCCCGGGCGCCGGGGTGCATTGTGGGAAGGAGGCGGCAGCGTCCCGGGCGGGCGGGAGGTGCACCAGCGGCGGCGGCAGCGGTAAATCCTCCCGGCCGCTCACAGCACTGTGGAGCCGCGTCCCTAGCCCGGCCTCGGACCGCGGCGCCCCTCCTGCCCCTCGCGGCTGCTCGTCCGCCCGCCCCTCCCCGCGGCGCGCGGCCCTGCGGAGCCGGCCGGCCGGCCCGGCTCCCCTCCCCGGCCCCGACGGGCGGGCGCGCTGCCCTGAGGAGGCGGGGAGGGGCGGGCAGGGCCGGCCGGCGCGCGACGATGCCGAACTTCTGCGCGGCCCCCAACTGCACGCGCAAGAGCACCCAGTCCGACCTGGCCTTCTTCAGGTTCCCGCGGGACCCGGCCAGGTGAGCGGCGGCGGCGCGCGGGCGGGGGCGGGGGCGGCCCGGGGGGGGGGCGGGCCCGGCGGGGGGGGGCTGTCGCCCGCCCCGGCGAGCCCCGCCGCGTGGCGCCGGGCGCTGCTCTCGGCAGCTGTCAGGAGCTGGCTGGGGCGCGGGGGTGGTCCCCGAGCCCGACCCTCGACCCCGCCGGGGCACGGGGCGATGCGGCCGCTGACCGTTATCCTCGTGAGCGCGGTGGCCGTGGGGCTGAGCCGGGGAGTGGGTGCGGGGACGCCGGCTGGTGTGGGGGCGGGGCGTGGACCCGACCGGACCGGACCGGACCTCGGGTGGTCGGTGCGTGCAGCCCAGATCGCTGACCGCCGACGTGCCGAGCGGTGCTGCTGCAGGAAATTCCGGAGGCGAACGGCGGCCGCGTGTCTCCCCCGCGCCGCCGAGCGTCCCCGTGCGCCCGAGAGGAGCCGTCGGTGGCACCCCAGGGCGCGCCGTGGTCGGTCGGTGCCCCCAGATCTTTGCGTCGAGGGGCTTGCTCGGGCCACGTTCTGAACTTCGGGGAAAGCGCAGAGCCGAGCCGACCGTTGTCCCGGAGGTTTTACGTTCTTGAGCGGTGGGTCGAGAGCAGACGTGGGCAATCAAGTCCCGTTATGTCGGTAATAAGCACACCCGGGCGGGGGAAATAAAGCAAATCATGGGGTGCGGTGGTGGAGAAGGGGTCTACGGGGCACAGTTGCTGTTTTAAATTGGGTAATGGGCGCAGGGGGAGAGAGAGAGAGAAAGAAAGAAAGAAAACGCAGGACTCGCCCACCGGATCTGATTCCCGAGCACAGAGCCAGGAGGGATTCCACCCCCGATTATTGGGTGTTCGGGGAAGCGCTTGTTGAACAGGTTAATTTCAGAGATTAGTAGCAGCAGGTGCAGGGACCAGCCACGGAGACCCTTGGGGACGAGCATTCCAGTTCGTGGAAACAGTGCAAAGGCAGGTACGTTCGCGTTATTGCTGAAGCCACACATAGCAGGGAGGGTTGATTTTTTTTTTTTTTTTAAAAAGGGAGGCCCGAGGGAGCCCGTTGTCGGTGGGGGCTGCTAAGAGGAGCCAAGGGTTAGCATTGTCGATTGCGATTTTTAATCGCGATGGGAACTGCCCCAGCAGAGGTGGGCGGGAGATCATCTCTGAAGGCGATTCAGTTATTCAGGATAGAAAAGAGATTGTTGACTTTGAGATCTGTTTCCCATTCATTGTGATGGGCGAATTGTTAGAGATGAAAACATATTGGTGGTTGCTGCGGACTGGAGGAGGAGTTAAAGGGATGTGGGTGGGGTGGGTAGGGGTAACCTGTACAACAGATCTTAATACACCCCAGGAGAAAGATTTATGGATGTTCCAAAAAGGGCCAGAGGGGTCGCTGAAGAGCTGGAACACATACCTTGCCTGCGGTAGGCCTGGGTTCGACCCCTGGCATTGCCTGTGCCCTAAGCAGATAGCCCCTGGGACCACTGGTGCCCCAAAGGATAGGACAACAAAGAAAACAATAGATGAACTATATCAGAATTAAACTTTGCATCAAAAGCACATTAATGGGGTGTAGAAAAAAAGGGGAAAGTAAAAAGAAAATGAAAATATGGGATGGGAGAAAGTATTTGAACGTTACATCCTGTATTTTCTAAGAATGTAGAATCCTGGGATCAGAGAGATAGTCCAGGGGAAAGGCACTTGTGTAGCTCACCCTGGTTTAAGCCTGTCACTATATGGTCCCCCAAGCACTATTGGAGGCAACCTCCTAACAGAGCTAACAGTACCCCTGAATATCACCGTGTGGTTAAACCCCTCCTACCCATCTCTCAAGGAGTAGTGAGAATGCAAACAATTCTTTAAACCTAACAAAAGACAACCTCAATAAAAAGGCAAAGGACTCAAATACGTATTTCCCGATTGAAGAGATAAGATGGCCAAAGATCAGAGTAGTTATGGAAGTTCAAGTCAAAACGACAGTGACTTGCCGATTAATCATAGGACGACATGGGGAGGGGAGCATTGGTGAAGATGTAGAGTTACTGAAAACTTTGTTATTGTTGGTAGGGCTGTTGAACTGCTCTGGAAAACTGGGTGGTTGGTGGTTCTTATAAGAGTAAAAACAGACTGGAGCAATTACATAGCAGGTAGATGGTGTTTGCCTTGCATATGACCTATGTGAGTTTGATCCCTGGCACCCCATATCATTTCCTGAACCTGCTAGACGTGATCCCTGAAAACTGCTGTTATGTGGTCTAAACCCCACCCCACAAACCCTCAAAAGTGAAAATGTAGAATTATGTTTAGGGGGCCGGATAGGTAGTACAGCAGATAAGGCACTTGATTTGCACGTGTCTGACCCAGGTTCTATCCCTGTCACTCCATATCCTCCCCCAGGTTGGCCAGGAATGAATCCTGAGTGAATCCAGGAATGAATCCTGAGTGCAGAACCAGGAGGAATCCCTGAGTATCGCCACATATGGCACCCTGTCTCTCCCCATCCCCCCCAAAATATATAATTGTGTTTAGGGACAGAAAAATAATACAAATGTTAAGATGCTTGCCTTGCTTATGGTACCCTGAGCATTGCCATTGGGTCCACAAAACAAAAACCAGAAACATAGCCAAGCTGTTCCAGTCCTTGGTACGTTTCCAAAAGAATTGCAGATTGGTACTCAAAAAAAGTTAATATATATACATGGATGTTCATAGTAGCATGAATCACAGAAGACAAGGACTAGGAGTAGCCTAAGTGTTAATCAGTAGATGAATGGATAAGCTTCAGTATATACATTCAATGGAATAATACTCAGCGATAAGACAATGAAATATTGATAAGTACTGCAACATGGGGTGAAACTAAAAAAGTATCATCTTAAGTGAAAAAAGCTAGACACAAAATACTGCATTATTGTTTGACGCCATTTATATAAATATGTAAATAGGTAAATTAATAGGAACAAAAATGATTGTTTTTTTTTTTCCCTCAGGCTAGATGAATTGAGGTAAGGAAGCAACTGCTTATTGGATACAGGGTTTCCTTTTAGGGCCTTGAAAACTTTCTGGACAGATAGAAGTGTCATTTGTACACTTCACTGCCACTCTTTCATTTTAAAATGGTTAATTTTATAGTATATGACCTTCACTTTAATTTAAAGTTTAGATATCTTCCATGAACAGAGGATATACAAGTTTAGAATTCAAAGACTTCAGACAAGGGATTTTCTCAGTCCATAGAAGGTATTTACGGCTACAGTACCCAGTGAATCAAGCAGAGTAGACCCAAAGATTGAGCTGTGATACCTTCGAAGAATTTAAAGTTCAGGGAGATAAGGAGGTATTAGCTCAGAAATAACTATGAGGAATAATTGTTGGGAACAGAGAAGAGGAGCATCTTAATCTGAGTAGAGATTTTACCTCATTAAGCAGTATCTTCTTTTTTTTTTTTTGCTTTTTGGGTCACACCCAGCAATGCACAGGGGTCACTCCTGGCTCTAGCTCTGCGCTCAGGAATTACCACTGGCGGTGCTCAGGGGACCATATGGGATGCTGGGAATCGAACCCGGGTCGGCCGCGTGCAAGGCAAACGCCCTACCCGCTGTGCTATTGCTCCAGCCCCAAGCAGTATCTTCTTTGGACTCAAGTTTTAACCAAATTTTTACTTTTGAAAGGTCGGGGTGGGGGGTGGTGAAGGAGAAAGGACCCACCTGGAGAAAGGAATGCTTGGGACCACTCTTGGTTCTGTGCTTGGGTCATTCTGGTTAGTGCTGGGAGACCATGTGGTGCTAGGGTATAAATGGCTTATCCCCTTTGCTTTCTCTCCAGCCCTAGGGGTCGTGACAGGAGTACACTTTACTTGCATAATAAGGAGACCTGTAGTCATTTGGAGGGACCAGAAAGTACAGGTGATAGCATGTTCACCTTGCATGTGGTGGACCGAGGTTTGATCTCTGGCATCCCATATGGTCCCACAAGGAGTAATTTTCTGAGCACAGAGCCAAGAGTAACCCTGCATATTGTCAGGTATGGCCCCAAAACACACACAAAAGATAGTCATAATGTAGAGTTACTAAAAACTTTGTGTGTGTTGTTGGTAGGACTGTTGACCTGCTCTGAAAAACTGGATGGTTGATGGTTCTTTAAGAGTAAAAAAACAGGGGCCAGAGTAATAGTATATAATATTACTATTATAGTAATATAGCAAGTATGATTTTTGCCTTACACACGACCTACCTGAGTTTGATCCCTGGCATCCCATATCATTCCCTGAGCCTGCCAGGAGTGATCCCTGAATACTGCTAATATGTGGCCCAAACCCCGCCCCAGAAACCCCCAAAAGTGAAAACAATTATGTTAGTGGGCCAGATATGGTAAATAAATGTGAATAATTTTTGTTCATTGTTACACTCATTGAGAATGACCTGTAGGGACTTACAGGCACAGACTGGGAAGTTAAAACGTATTTATTTTGGTGAGAAGGGTTTGCAACCACAAAGGTGGTGCTCAGGGCTTCTTTTTCTGTGCTCAGTGATCACTCCTGGCGGGCTCAGAGAACCATATGGAGTGGTAGGGATTGAACCCCAGTTGGCTGCATGCAAGGAAAGTGCCCTATCTACTAAGCTCTCCAGCCCCAGATTGGGAAGTTTTCGATATAAAACTTGAAGTGCTGAAAATCTTTTACATTACTTTGACTTCTAAAGCTTATGGGGATCACTGTCCCCTTGAGAATCTAATGCAATGTTTCCCAAAGTGATTGAATTGCCTCCCCAAGGTGCACTGGAGCTATTCATTGAGGCAATGTTAGCTGCTAGTGCATTTAGGGGGCACTTTCTTTTATTAAAGGAAGGTATATTTCTGGGGTATGCTGAAAATTTTTTAAGTAATTTTTTTATTTTTCTGTTAAGGGGGACTGTAGGCCAGATAGCCTTTGATCTACATAAGGACTCTTACCTGAGAAAAGTTGTTAACAGTTTGCTTCACATCAGGATATTTATGGGCA